AAGGGGAAAGAGTAGCTAAGGGACCAGCTTCCTACATCAATCCCGAGCAATTGAACTCCATCAATTCACTACAAACAACACTCAACACTGAGATCTCTGCTTTTCTCAAGTAGTTGAAGATGAGCTGGTTTCTGGATTTCCAAATTCCCCATAAGATCTAAGTAGTGAGATGTAATCTAGCCTCTGAAGTAAGAGATTTGCTGACATTGCATATTTTTGTCTGCCAGTCTTTAAATCAACCAGAGTCTAACTCTCTACCATCCTAGCAAATAGGAGAGAGTTTCCATATAAGGTGAGTTATTGGGCAGTGAAAGAACATGTGCTCCAAGGGTTTTCCTTAATATGCACAAGTTGTACAAATGGTGTCCAATGAAACTCCTTTCTTGAGAAGCATAGGGATATTACTTTTATCTGCTCTCACATTGTTTTGCAGGTTGATAGACATATCTCTCTCTCTCTCTCTCTCTCTCTCTCTCTCTCTCTCTTTCTCTCTCTCTCCTCACAGCACTGGTTAAACTCACACCTAGAGATTGTACATGTTGCACTGTACCCCATCGCTTCGCTCCATCTCCGCTGCCGCCTGTCCAGCACCCACGCCCCATATACGTTGTTTGGCTGAGACCCGAGTCCCCTTAGGTTAAACTAAAAGCTTGCAACCATACTTTTTCTATTCTCAAGTCAGAGACATGATCAAGTTATGAGGGTGAACTGGTTGACCGAAAAGAGCTATAGGTAGGTCGAACGGAGCTATAGAGCAAAATCATCAGGTCGATCAGGGCATTGCAAGTCCAAAAGATCACCCAGGTCGAGCTAGGGTTCTTGGATGGCTTCACTAAAACTCGACCTAAAGGTATAACTAGTCGATGGATCGACAAGAAGAGCATAGCATACGAGCTTAGCATAGGCAGCACTCCACCTCGAGGTGAATCAGATTGGCTGCATGATTAGACCTCTAATAAGGTAGACTAATGGATAAAAATGAATATTATTAAGATAAGAACCACACGTGGATAGAGCCACGTGGCCTAATATAATTGGTTAGTACGAACGGACGATTCACGCAGTCTATACGAGCAGTCTTGGGCAATTAGGTAATACGCCCCTATATATAGGGGTGAGGCATGTACATTGCAACATTACCTTCTCTTCGTCTTCTTTATATGTAAATTGTCTTGATCTTCGCTAACGGTGGCCTATTTTACAGGTCTATAAACAGGTCAGAGAGCAAATTAAGTCATGTGAGTCGGACATAAGTCTATTACACACCACTATGTTAGTAATTTAATTATTCATTCACAATAAATTGATCATATGAATTTATGTTAAATTCAAATATAATGAATAAATATAATATCTAATTTTCTTGTTCTTCATTTTATTACATATTTAATACAACCATATGTCATATCTCGATCTATTAGAAATTTAGAATTGTTCTCCTAAAGCATCCCCAATGCTTTGGGTTCAATCACAAAAAATGGTATGTCATCTAAAAAATATAACAAAATGTATTCTCTAATAGAAACAAAAGTAGACTGGGTTCTGCTCATGTGGGAGCAAAAAAAAGAGACCTGGTCTACCCTTAAGTCTATTTTAGACTAAAGTACAGACCTAGTCTCTTTGCATTGGAGTGAATTTTATCAATTTTACATAATTTCATCCATGTCATCTAATACTTGGATTTATTTAAGTGCCACATAGGCAAGACTAGACTCAATGCATTGTAGAGACGTTCATTATTAGCCACAAAAAAAAAAAAA